AGCTATGATAATATTTTTCCTTCCTGTTTAACTTGTTCATTGCTTACTTTTTGTATCATGGCTTTTTCATTCTTGAACTCTTTATCTCTTAGATATTTAGACTTTGCTAGAACGGTAGCCACTGGCTGCATGTGGCTATTTAAATTTAAATTAAAATTAAATAAAACCAAAATAATCAGTTATGCAATTGCACTAGCTACATTTCAGCTGCTCAGTAGCCACAGTGCCTGCTGTATTGGACAGTGCATAAAACCCTACTAGATGACAATTGAGAATATAATGCTGAGTGAATTTCTCAGGAAGGGTACTTTGATAGTCCCCCTACTGAGCCCCTCCAAGTTTGAGTATATGTCTATCTAGTTTCATATAAACTTAGCTGTGGGCATGAGGTTCTAGGGTCACACTCTTTCCCTTTCTTCCCCTTTCTCTCAACTTAACCTCTCAAAGTTTTACCCTTATCTTCTGGTCTTTAATTTTGTGGAGGAGAAGTCTGATGCCAGCTTGATATATTTCTTTTATAACCCATTCCTCCCACTGCCTGCCTGGATGTTTATAGGATATTTTTCTTTGCTTTCAAAAATGTCACTAGATAATTTCAAGGTTTTGGACTTCTTAATAATTTTGCCTGGTATGTAGTGAACCCTTTTGATCTAAAGACTCAGGTCTTTAACTTGAGAAAGTTTTTTCTATTGTCATTGCTTCTACTCCATCTCTTTTATTCTGTCATACTAGGATTTATATTATAGATATATTAGGCCCCTGATCTAGTCTCTGTGTTTCATCTCTTTTATTGTCTCATCCGTCAGTGACTTCATTACAGTTTTAAATTCAGCATTTATTTATTTAAAAAAAATTTCCATGTGTTCTTTCCTCATCACTCATTGTTTCATTTTCATTACATCTGTAAATCTGGCTTATAGGCATAATGACTTTTTGAATGTTGTTGAAAATATGATTAGAAATTTTCTAAACATTTCTGTTCTTTAATAATAAATCTACTTCAGAGAGAGACATTTTCTCTAATTCTTCAAGATATAGTTTTCTTTTTGAACTTTGTTTTCTCATAGGTCCTGTATATTTTTTTTGTGATAAGCTTGCCTAGGTTCAAATCCTGACTCTGCCACTTTCTTACTAGTATTTAACTTTGGGTCTTAACTGTAAAATGGGGATAATAATAGTACCTATCTCATAGAATTTATATGAGGAATAAAGGACTAAATATTGAAAAGAACTTAGAATAATATCTAGAATGTATTACACACCATTTGTTTGGTAAATAAAATTAAAAATTTATTTTTCTTTGAGGAAGTCCTATTGATCTCTCTTCTTGCAGTTGCCTCTCCACAGGAAAACTCCTAGGCATGGCCTTTTTTTTTTCTTTATAAATTTATTTATTTTATTTATTTATTTTTGGCTGCACTTGGGCTCAGTAGTTGGGCTCTAGAGTGCAGGCTTCAGTAGTTGTGGTGCACGGGCTTAGTTGCTCCGAGGCATGTGGGATCTTCCTGGACCAGGGATCGAACCCATGTCCCCTGTATTGGCAGGCAGATTCTTAACCACTGCACCACCGGGGAAGTCCCTAGGCATGGCCTTTTGCTTGGGTTGGTGGTTCATCCTTGCTACTCCAAATTAGGGGAGGTTTGTAGGGGTTCTTTCAGGATCTTCTTCATTTCCTTCCTTCCTTAGATCAGAGTCCAGTGATTATTACTATGAGAAACTTTTTGGAGAAAGGAAAGAGGAAGTTAGCTTCCCTGCTAACTTAAGAAAGACATGTGTTTCTTACCTTATTATGAATGCTTTGTATGTGTGTCTGTTTGTGTAAAAATAGTATTTTTGTACTACTTGTCAGTTGAAAAAAAAATGAAAGGTTTAATCTTCCCCTTCTCCCTTTCTGTTTTTATAAACAGAACTATTTTTTTAATTGGTAGAAATATTTTAGTTTCATTGTGGGTATAGCCTAGATGTTAACTGGGCTGCCCAGGCCTTTTGAACTCTAGGCAAGACCTACTCCCCATTGTGGAAGCCCAAACATCTCCTCAAGATCTGGGTAATTCTCAAGGGGCATGCATTCTCAAGGTTACTTTTGCTTCCAGGGTCCCCTCCTTCCATGTGTGCTTTCTGTAGGCCTAAACTAACGGTTCCCAAATGGGGTGATTTCGTCCCATGGGGGCATTTGGCGACACTTGGAGACATTTTTTTTTGTCACAGCTGGGGAGGGTGCTGTTGGCACCTAATGGGTAGAGGCCAGGGATGCTGCTCAGCTTCCTACAATGCATAGGATAACCTCCACAACAAAGAAGTATCCAGCCCCAAATGTCATTAGTGCCAAGGTTGAGAAACCATGGCCTTGGCATATATCCTTGCCTTCAATTTCCACAAAGACCTACCCACATGAAGTCCCTGTGAGTGTAGAAGACATCACTGGAGAGTCAGAGGGTGCAGGGAGAGGGAGGAAGGGTTTCCGCTGCAGTAATGCAAATGATTTCAAATTGAATATTAGGCATTCCTATTCCTAAACCCCCTTTTCCCACTCCAGTCATCAGACAGCGCCCTCTGGCCTTTCACCTGATGTAGTTCTCAGCCTTATGCTTTCTCACTGGCACTTTCTCCCTTTATCCTATCTGGAGCAAAACAAAAAAAAATTGTTTTTTCCCTTGCTGCATGGAAAGGCAGTTTAGCTATCTGTTTAATGGTTTAGGTTCCCACCAACACCCACACATGGAGAAACAAATTACTTTGCCAAGCCATGGCGATTCTCTTCCTAAGAGGAATACTAGTGCCAGCTATTAAGATAATAACATTTTTACCTCATTATATAAGCATAATATTTAAACAATTTTTAATCATTTTAAATACAGGAAAAGTAAGATAAGCTTCAAGTTTTACCATCATCTGAGAATCTTAACATATTGACATAACTATCATAGATCTAATTTTTTCACGTTATACACCATTACACTGTACAGAAATCCTACAATTTCTGCTACGTTTATTCATATTTATTTCCCCTGTGTTTCCAAGTTCATTGCTTGCTTTTCCAGTTTGTCAGTGCTGCATTATAGGTTAGGTGATTATAACAGATGGCTTTTCAGGTTTGGAGTCTTTGAGTTCCACTGTTTAATTTTACTATCCAGCTTTTACATGGAACATAGGACAGATGTGGGCTTAGAAACAGAGTGGTCTTAGCATCCAGAGAGCAAGCTTTCCTGAAGGCTTATGGCTTTGATAAAATTATTTATGAATTACTTAAATTCTCATCTAGGGTCTCCTCCTAACATTGTTGATATTCTAATATTAGTATGTTAGAGGGAAATAAAATTTTTATTCACATGATAGGAGCTTTACTAAAATGTGTCCAGTGGCACATATTTATACATACTTAAACCAGTATAGTAGTTGAGTTGGAATTAATTAAGGTACTGTATATTATAAATCAAGTATGAGAAGTATCCTGGATACTTAGAAAGCTACAGAAAATCTCTCTTAACTGCATTGTAATAAACGTCTTTAAAATCACTCTCTCTTTAAAGTAAATTTTCCTTTTTGATAACTCTTTGTGTAAGCCTCTTCATCCATCGATTCCTCCCTCTCTTTCTTTCTTCCTTCCTTTCCAGTACTTTATTAAGGTATGATTTACGTACATAAAATGCACTAATGTTAAGTGTTACAACTGGATGACTTTCATGTATATATGACTGTGTGACTGTGTGACTACAACCCACATCAGGACATAAACATTTCCATCTCCCTAGAAAGTTTCCTTTCCAGTTCTGGAACTTCATAGATCAGTATGATCTCTTTTGTGTCTGTCCTCAGCATAATGTTTTTGAGAGTTATCCATGTTGTTCTGTGTATCAGATTTATCTTATCCTTTTGCTAAGTAGTATTCCATTGTGTGAATATTTCCACAGTTTGTTTATCCATTCTTCTTCTGATGAACATTGAGTTGTTCAGTTTTGAGTTATTATGAATATAGCTGCTATGAGTATTCTTGTATAACTTGTTTTGTAACATAAACACTCATTTCTCCTGGATAAATATCTAGGAGAGGAATTACTTGGTCGTAGGGTATGAATACATTTAATTTTATTGGAAACTCCAGTTTCCCAAAATGATTGTACCTATTTTACAATCCCACCAACAGTGTATGAGAATTCCAAGTGCTCCATTTCCTCGCCAACACTTGATGTTGTGGTCTTTTTATTTTTAGATATTCTGGTAGATGTTATGGTCCATGTATTTTTTTAATTACAAAAATAACTTATGGATACATTTTTATTGTAGAATATTTGCACAACATACAGGTATATAGACTACTTGACCTAGTCACAGAAATCAGACAAGAAAAAGAAATAAAAGGTATCCAAGTTGGAAGGGAAGAGGTAAAATTGTCATTATATGCAGATGACATGATACTCTATAGAGAAGACCCTAAAGACTCCACACAAAAACTATTAGAACTAATAAATGAATTCAGCAAGGTAGCAGGTTACAAGATTAATATACAGAAATCTGTTGAATTTTTTTTACACTAACAATGAAATATAAGAAAGAGAAAGGAAAAAAACAATCCCATTTAAAATTGTGTCGAAAAAATACCTAGGAATAAACCTAACCAAGGAGGTGAAAGACCTATATGCAGAGAACTATAAAACAATGATAAAAGAAATTGAAAATGATTCAAAGAAATGGAAAGATAGTCCATGCTCTTTGATTGGAAGAATTAATATTGTTAAAATGGCCATACTACCCAAAGCAGCATACAGATTTAATGTGATCCCTGTCAAACTACCCATGACATTTTTCACACAACTAGAACAAATAATCTTAAATTTTTTATGGAACCACAAAAGACCCAGAATTTCCAAAGCAATCCTGAGGAAAAAGAACAAAGCTGGAGGCATAACCTGCCCAGGCTTCAGGCAATATTCAAAGCTACAGTAATCAAAACAGCATGGTAGGGCTTCCCTGGTGGCGCAGTGGTTAAGAATCTGCCTGCCTTCCCTTGGCCTTACTCCAGGGGCTTTTGCTGTAAAGTGCCTGGCATTACCGGAGGGTACATGAACAAGCACGCATCCCTCCCCAGGGAGACTGCTGTCCTGTGGGGCCCACTCGTGGAGCTGACAGCACAGGTCGGGTGGGGTTGGACACTTTCCTTTCTGTACCTGCTGACTGGCGACGCTTAAACAGGGTAGAGGCATAAGCAACCAGTAAGTGAGAGATGCCACACATGCCCGGAAGAGCCAGAATAAAATGCTAAAGTCCGGTGTAATTGGAACACGGAGCTCGCGTCAAAAGAAACACAAACCGAACAGTTTTGTTACGGAATAATTTCTAACTGATAAGTACCAGAACACGTCAGAGGTTTCTTGTTGTTTGGCAGGAATGCTAACTCGGGGTTTTATTTTGCCTCAGAAAAAAAAAAAAAGAATCTACCTGCCAATGCAGGGGACACGGGTTCAAGCCCTGGTCCCGGAAGATCCCACATGCTGTGGAGCAACTAAGCCTGTGTGCCACAACTACTGAGCCTGCGCTCTAGAGCCCATGAACCACAACTACTCAGCCTGCGTGCCACAACTACTGAAGCCTGTGCATCTAGAGCCTGTGCTCTGCAATAAGAGAAGCCACTGCAATGAGAAGCCCATGCACCACAACAAAGAGTAGCCCCCGCTCACCTCAACTAGAGAAAGCCTGCGCGCAGCAGCAAAGACCCAACACAGCCAAAAATAAATAAATAAAATAAATAAATTTATTTAAAAAAACCCCAGCATGGTATTGGCACAAAAACAGACATATAGATCAATGGAACAGAATAGAGAGCCGAGAAATAAACACATACTTCAGGTCAATTAATCTTTGACAAAGGAAGCAAGCATATACAATGGAGAAAAGACAGCCTCTTCAGCAAGTGGTGTTGGGAGAGCTGGACAGCCTCATGTAAATCAATAACGTACATTAGAACACTCCCTCACATCATACACAAAAATAAACTCAAAATGGCTTAAAGAGTTAAATATAAGACATGACATCATAGGACGCCTAGAAGAGAATACAGGCAAAACATTCTCTGACATAAATCGTAGCAGTCTTTTCTTAGATCAGTCTCCCAAGGCAATAGAAATAAAAGCAAAAGTAAACAAATGGGTCCTAATCAAACTTATAAGCGTTTGCACAGCAAAGGAAACCATAAACAAAACAAAACAAAAAGCCTAACAGAATGGGAAAAAATATTTGCAAACTGTGGGACCAACAAGAGCTTAATTTCCAAAATATACAAACAGCTTATACAATTCAATATGAAAAAAAAACTCAATCGAAAAATGGGCAGAACTAAATAGACATTTCTACAGAGAAGGCAACCAGATGGGCAACAGGCACATGAAAAGATGCTCAACATTGCTAATTATTAGAGAAATGCAAATCAAAACTACAACGAGGTATCACCTCACACCAGTCAGAATGGCCACCATCAAAAAGTCTACAAATAATAAACACTGGAGAGGGTGTGGAGAAAAGGGAATCCTCGTACACTGTTGGTGGGAATGTAAATTGGTGCAGCCACTATGGAAAACAATATGGAGGTTCCTTAAAAAACTAAAAATAGAACTACCATATGATCCAGCAATCGCACTCTTGGGCATATATCTGGAAAAGACGAAGACTCTAATTTGAAAAGATATATGCACCCCAGTGTTGATAGCAACACTATTTACAATAGCCAAGAGATGGAAGCAACCTAAGTGTCCATCAACAGATGAATGGATAAAGAAGATGTGATACACACACACACACACAAACACACACACACACACACACAATGGAATACTATCCATAAAAGGAATGAAATGTTGCAATTTGCAGCAATATGGATGGGCCTAGAGATTATTGTACTAAGTGAAGTAAGTCAGAGAAAGACAAATATTATATATCACTTATATGTGGAATCTAAAAAAAATAATACAAATGGACTTATTTACAAAACAGAAACAGACTCACAGACATAGGAAACAAACTTATGGTTACCAAAGGAGAAGGTGGGGTGGTGTAAATTAGGAGTGGTGTTAAAAGATATGCACCACTATATATAAAATAGATAAACAAGGATTTACTCTATAGCACAGGGAGCTATATTTAATATCTTGTAATAACCTATAATGGAAAAGAATCTGAAAAGAGTGTATATCTATCTATCTATCTATCTATCTGAATCACTTTGCTGTATACCTGAAGCTAACACAATATTGTAAATCAACTAAAGTTCAATGAAAAATAAAATAAGTATATAGACTACTTGGTTTTTTATCATAGCACCATTGGCTACCTTTCCATATGAATCTATGTATATATTCATATATATATATATTCATTTTTAAACTGTTGCACAGTATTTCAGAATTTTTAAACTATTCACCTATTGAAGGATGTTTAGATCGTTTCCAGATTTTTTTGTATTTCCACAGTGCTGTAGAGAACATATCTGCATCTTTGTGTACATATGCAAATATTTCTGTAGGATAGATTCTTAGACTCTCAAATGGAAGATTGCAGAAGTGTTAATCCTAGATTTGTAGACTGGCCAGTAGTTAAAACTTGATCCAAAGTACTACCTGTGTTTTCGTTCCTGGTTTTTGTTTTCTCTGTGCTGTGAGTATATAGGTATTGTCATTTTTTTCCCCTTCAGGAGGTAAGAGAATGAAAAATATAAACACACATTTCTTGGGTCATGGGGCAGAAACAATCAGCAGGTTGAAGCAAACCACAACCAGAACATGCTGACAGTTTCTCTATTGTGTGCTGACAACTTCCTGCAAGCCAAAACAAAGCTGGTGGGTATGATTTTAACCTTGCCAACAAGTTTTACCCCTTAACAAAAAGCAAGAAATATATACCTTAAGGATTAAAACTACTTGCCAGATCGAAAATTTAATGCAAGGTTTAAAACAAGTTCTAAGCAAACTAAAAGTCATTTCCCCCCACTATGATACTTTTATTTAATTGGTGTGAAAATGGGCAAGACAAGGTTTGTATGAAGTCTTCCATCATTAGAATAGAAAAATGAACACTAAAGTTTCAGAGGTTTGATTTTAGGGAGATATTTAAGTCACTGCAGAAATGCTAATGGTCGGATACCTTCAGCATATTCGTAACAAGGAATCAGAAATTATTATTTTTTGTTTGTTTCTACCAGAAGCTGTCAATGAGACTTTGTAGAAGTTGGATCAGCAACCAGGCTGTTTTTTTTCTGTAAAATAGCAATATGTTACATAAAGGGATAGGTGTGACATTTAATTAAATACCCAGACAAATAGAATACTCAGGTATCTAGAATGAAATGTGGCCTTATGTGACTTCCAAGGTAGAGATTGTTTTAGTTTGGCGGGCATGATTTGCTAGGCATGGCAAAGTGGGTGGACATAGTCTGTGACTGGAAAGGACATCTTACTGTTAGCGGCTCACTCAAGGAAGTCCCGAGGATGATGCAGATCTTTACTCCCCGCCTACCGCATCAATCCAAGCAAAGGACTCCTGGGATGGGTCCCTGAGAGGGGTCCCTCCTCCCTTTGATATCCCCTTCTCTTCTTCACAATCCCAACAAACATTTTCTACACCCCTCCTTTCTCCATACAGGCTCCCATCTCCATCCTAGAGGGGTGATGTGTCATCTTTAAGGCTTTAACTCCTTCAAAGTGTTCAGAGTGAAGCATCTATAAGATAAATTAAGCATTTTGATTAGAAAAAAACACTAGGTATCACTGAAAATTTAAGAGATGAGGCTGAAGTAGTATCCTGCTCCTACAATTTTTTAAAAAATAGTTAATAGATTGTTTTCTAAAGTTTACTTAGGTATTTTCTTTTAGACCCCCTTTTTCATGGGAAAGAGAACCATGTTCCTTAGGTTGATTTCCAGGCCAGTCCATTTTTAAAAACTATTTTGTGTCCCTCTTTGTTAGATGGAACACTCCCTTTATCCCCTGTTCCCTAACTCCAAGCTCTGATGTTGGTGTTCTGACTGGAGAGTGACTCCAATGGGCAGGACTGGGAAAGGTATGAGGAGCTGGGTGGGAGCTAGGTTGGGGTTCCCAGGATTAGGGAGGAGACTTATTTAATGAGCCAGAATGAGAGCAGGAATGGGCCTCACCTAGCGGGGAGGTGAGAGCCAGTGCAGGGACCCAGAGCAAAAGGAGAACAGAATTTCCTCTCATCTCCCGCTCTTCCTCTCCTGTCTCCTTACTTCCGACCCCATCTCCCATTGAGAGTGTGGCTGCCAACAGGCTTGGACGTGCTATGATAAGAGGAGGGGGCTATGAGATGGGGTGAGGAGTGATGATGGAAGTCAGCAGAAGGTTGTTGAAGTATAATGACTGTCAAAGCAGCAGCAGTGAGAGAATGGATATTTCTGTGATTGTGCTCAGCCAGGACAACCATTCACATTTAAAAAGTATTTGCAAGTACTTGGGGACTTTTAAAAAAAAATCTAAATAGAGGGTCTGAAATACTGCCCAGCATTAAACTTAATAGAATTAATTTGGTGAGTCATTTTAGCCTATGCCAACACTTTTTGCATGTAGACAAAAATCTCAAATATTTTCTTGGGTATAATGCCAATATAGGCAGAAATTCATGGCACCCTTCTTTTCAGAAATGTGAATTCTGCTTTAGTAGTTCAAATACTTTTGCAAAATATCCCCTCTAGGAACACTTTGATTGGTTTTTGGTTGGTGGAATTGTTTTCAGCAGCATTTGGCCATTCATCCTGCCTTCAAATAGAAGATTGATTGAAGCAAACTTTTGAGTTTTAGAAACAATATATCAACAAAAAAAATTTGTAACTGTTAAAGAACACCAACTTAAATATTTTGTTCTTTCTGTGTATAAGGAGCATTACTTAGAAAACAGATGGAGGCAACCTTTATTTTTCACTAGTTTGAAAAATGTGACACATAGGATGTCATTCTTCTCCAAATAGAAGAGTAGCCTCATAAATGGACAAGGTCAGAGGTTTGGGAGAATGTCAGAGACTTTGACCAGCCTACAGAACCTAGAGATCTTGGGTGCATCCTGTCAAGTCAGAATCTTTTCATCTGGCCTTAGGCCGTGCAGTGGTTTCTCCCAGGGATGTGATGATTA